GGTTACAGGGCTGGGGATGCGGGGATGTGGGATTACAGGGCTGGGGATGTGGAGCTATAGAGCTGGGGATGCAGGGATGTGGGGCTACAGGGCTGGGAATGTGGGGATGTGGAGCTATAGAGCTGGGGATGCGGGGATGTGGGGCTACAGAGCTGGGGATGCAGGGATGTGGGGTTACAGGGCTGGAGATGCGGGGATGTGGAGCTATAGAGCTGGGGATGTGGGGCTACAGGGCTGGGAATGCGGGGATGTGGGGTTACAGGGTTGGGAATGCAGGAATGTGGGGCTGCAGGGCTGGGGATGTAGGGATAGGTGGTTATGGAGCTGGGGGTGCGGGCTGCAGGAGTCCAGGGCAGCAGGATTACGGATACAGGGCTGGACATGTGGGCTGCAGGGGTGTGGGGCAGCAGGATGCAGAGTTACAGGGTTGGGGATATACACTGCAGGGGTACGGGGCTTTGGGATACAGGGATACAGGGCTGGGGATGTGAGTTGCAGGGGTACGAGGTATTGGGATGGAGGGATACAGGGCTGGGAGTGTGGGATGAAGTGGTACGGGGCACTGGGATGTGCGCTGCCAGGGTACGGGGCTGTGGGATATGAGACAGTGAGATATGGGATGCAAGGATATAGGGCTGTGCTAGCCAGGCTGCCAGGGTACAGGACTGTGGGATGCAGACTGCGACGATATGAGGGTGCAGGAGCTGGGTTACAAGGTTGGGGTGCTGCAAGGTTAGAGGGCTGCGGGATGTAAGCTGAAAGGATCTGGGACCAAGGGATGCCTGCTGCAGGCTGCAAGGATGCAGGGCTGCGGGATCAAGGGCTGTGGGGTGCAGCGCTGCAGGAGTGTGGGATATGGTGGTGGAGGATGTGGGAATATGGGGCTGTGGGTTGTGGGATGTGAGGATACAGAGCTACACGTACGCAAGATGCAGGGAAATGGGCTGTGGGTTGCAGAGATACGGGGCTGTGGGGTACGCAGCTGCGGGGCTGCAGGATATGGGAGTACAGGGCTGCAGGATGCGGGATACGCGACTGTAGGATGCGGGATGTGGGAACATGGGAAGCAGGATATGGGTAGATGGAGTTGCAGGATGCGGGACTACGGGAAGCAGGATATGGCCAGATGGGGCAGCAGGATGCGGAGACACGGGGCTGTGGAGCGTGGGGACATGGGATTCGGGACACAGGGCTGCAGGGTTTGGAGGTGGGGGATTGGGGCTGCAGAGGGGCGAGGCTGTGGATGCGGGATGCAGGGAAGCAGGCACCCCGGGGACTAGGCTGTGCCGAGGGGCAGCGGGAGTCAAAATCCCCTGTCTGGGCAGAGGGGTTCCTTCAGCCCTGCCGGCGCTTTGCACCCCCCATTCTCCCACTGTGCCGAAGCACTGGGCACGGCTCCCCGCCGCC